CAGGCTAGTTTTCTGCGCGTAGGGTTTTTAATTTTATTTTAAACAGACAAGAACTCAAATCCACACCCTCCCCACCGCGGTTCCATGAAGGGGTTCAGTCCACACATTTCTAGACATGCATAAATGACTAAGCGGAGCTCTACCTCTGGTGGGAAGGGTTTGCGTTTAGCTGCAAGGGTCACCATTTATCCAGAGACTGGACTTTCCCTGGGAGCTGCGCGCCAAGCGGCGGCTCCTGAGCGATGCCTGGCCAGCTGGAAATGCCGGCCATTCATCTGCTGCTTAGCAGGAAGCTTGGGACTTTACGAGGGGGCACTTACTGTCTAATGAACTGGATGGCATCTTCGTATTTCATTCCGCTCTCAATCAGGGCCAGCGCGACAAGAACAGGAGCCCTAGAAGAAGAGAAAGTGAGAAGAAATAGCTGGCAATCCAGCAGGCTTCCTTGTGCTATTAGAAAGAAATGGTTGTCCTTGCAGGATGGAGAGGACACTATGCTTTCTTTAGGCCTGCTGCAAATACTAATAAATGAACAATGTTATATTTGCCTTCTAGATACAGGCATATCTCTTTGTTACATGGTTCTATGTTTGAATGCATATGGTTTTTGAAACATGTTTTTAAGGTTCTTTGCAGAGCATCCAGAGAGCTGTGGCTCTTGGGTGATGCAGAATCAGAATCCTGGAATAGGATAGTTGGAAGGGGCCAGGAAGGCCACTGGGTCCACCCCCTGCTGGTGCAGGACACCAGTTTACACCATCCCACTCAGAGGGAATGCCCCCACCTCTCCAGGCAGCGGGTTCCACTGTCGTACGGCTCTGCCGGTGAGGAAACACCTCCTGGTATCTAGCCTGAACTTGGATCGTGGCAACCTGACTTGATTATTCAGGTTGAATAATTAAGAAATTAAACGATCCAGTTGGAAGAACTAAATCAGCCTTCCTCAGCTCCAGACTGGCCATTCCCTAAGCCAAGGACTACACAGGCTGGGATGCTGGAAGCTGCAGTCCAACACAGCTGTCAGGTTGTGGAGGGCTGGCACGGACGGGTCCGTGGCCACTCTGCGGAGCCCACGCGCTGCCAGGTGCGGGGAGCCTCCTGCTTACCGTCCCAGGCCGGCCACGCAATGGACGGCCACGCAGCAGCCGGGGTCCTCGCAGAACTTGGTCTTGAGCAGGTTGAGCCAGTCATCCACGATCTTGCTAGGAGGCGGGGCTCCATCATCAAATGGCCAGTCCTGGGGGTGAAGGGAGAGAGGCACAGGCTGACGGTCCATGCCGGGAGACGTGGGTCACGACACTGCCCTGTCTTCTGGCACGGTGAGGGCGGCCAGCCCCGGAAGGGCAGGCTGGTGAGCGACTGGGCAGGAGTGGGCCGCTCCCTCGCAAATGGCGGACCGTTCAGCGGGAGGAAGAGTGGGGGGACCCACTGAAGCGCCTCCGAGCTGCCCAGTGAAGTTTCCCAGGCTGAGTCGGCCTGCTTTGGGAAGGAGGCTTCTCAGGAGGGGAGGGAGCAGGGGCAGGCTCAGTCCTTGGCCCCACATGGAGGCGTCTGGGGAGCCGCTCAGTCGGAGGGGCTGTGCTGCTCACACCGTCTGGCCCCTGAGCGGCAAGAGCCACCCCGACGACAGAGCTGGACGCTCGGCTGGAAAGGGGAGCTTTCCCGAGGGAAACATTCCAGTTTGGCTCCAACTCTGCACGTGAGCAGAGACTTCTCTTCCCTGCTATGGCAGAAGGCTACTTGGACCTCAACTGGTGTGGTTATCTGGGAAGCCCCAGTGAGAGAAGTGCCTTCTCAAAGGATGGTCTTGGGTTTAGGAACTGGGGAAGGGACCAGCTCTCAACAGCCATCCTTCCTCCGTACCCTGAACAGGAACTGGCCGGCTGTGGAAGAACGGGAGCTCTCTGTCTCTCCCCTGCCAGCCCCCGGCAAACCATCAAGAAGTTTTGCATGCTGGCAACCCTTGCGATATATTTAGGAGTCTTGCTCGAGATTGCCTCCATGTGGTTGCTGCTAGACTAGGCCTTGCACATTTCAAATGCTCCACCTTTTTTGTCAGCCTGTGTTTGCCTGGGTTGTGGCAGATGGAGCAGAAATCCCTTTCTGTTTGGGTCAGATTAAGAAAGAAGAGGAATGCACGGTCAGGCCCCTGCGAGGTCCGATTAGGCAACCATCTCGTTCCCAAGCGCACCAGCAAAAGGCCTTCCCTGTGTTGGCCCCCCAAGAGTCGGTGTTCCCCTCCCGCCTCTCGATGTCAGACTCCATCCCGTTGTTAAGGTGGACTCTCCGTGCATTTGACAGTCTACCTGCAAAACAACTCATTCTGGCAGTCACATCCTTAAGCCCAACCTGGCCCAGGTGTGATCAATTGCTTTATTTTGCCTGCGCTGAATCCAGGGCATCGCTTGGCCCTTTGAATCACTAATGCAATGGGAGAGCCGAAGTTCCCGCATGACAGGGGATGGAGAAACCTTTTCTGTATCACGTGTGATTCTGGTTTTCCTGGGCCAACCCTTTCCCGAGTTCTCCCCGGCCCGCATCATCATGAGAGCCGTTTCTCCGGGGTAGATGTGCCATGCACGGACCGAATTATTTTGCCTTTATTTTCTGCCCCCTCCCCAGCTCTCTAGCCTTTTGAGCTGGGGTGGATCACACTGCATTTTTCCATGAAGACCGCAAGACCTTACTGCATGTCCCAGGCAAGACCCAGATGTCTTAACTAAGCTCCCACCCCCACAAAAAAAATTACTAGTGGGGGCAGGAAGGTCTGGCACAAGTGCTCAAGGAAGCTGTCAATGCCCCGTTTCTCTGACCCGGCAAATAACAGAGTTGTAAAATGGGAAGCTCCCTAAGGCAGGGGTTTCGCTTTTCCTTGTGCAACTCCTTTAAAAACGAAAACATACATTTGTGTGCCGTTAGAACGCTACTTCACTGCGTCTTTGTCTTCACCTGCTCACTTATACACACTGACACAAGACTGCATTGCCCACTGCTGATTTAGGCACTCTGCTTTACCTGTCACACCAGCATCATCATCATCATCATCATTTATTGCATTTATATCTCATCTTTCTTCCTCTTGTAAGGAGCCCAAGGGAGCTCACTTGGCTCCATTTTATCCCCCAAACAACAACCCTGTGGGGTAGGCTAGGCCGAGCATCTGTGGCTGGCTCAAAGTCACCCAGGGAGCTCCACGGCTGAGCGGGGACTAGAACCTGGGTCTCTTGGGTCCCTGAGGATGTAGCTGGGATGTAGAAAAAGAGCCTATTCTGAATTGTCAGCCAAAGTTTACGCCAAGACGTCTGCATGAGTGCTGCAGCAGGATCGCCTGCCCCGGGGCTGCGGGTCGCAGGACTCATGGACACATCTGGAAGCTGCCAGGCTGGGCAAGGCCGTCCTAAAAGAAGGGCTAAGATCCACTGTTCTGCCGAGGGCCAGCTTCTGTGGTACAAGTGCGGTGCTGAGACCACAGGCGAGTTCTCTCGAGGCTGCCGAAGGATCTGGGCCGGACTGACCTCCCCTGCACCCGAGCCCCCGGCACTGTCGGTGCCCAAGGCACAGACCCAGAGAAGAGCCACAAACGCAGCTCATAAATCATTCCTCTCCGGGACGTGATCCGCCTTCTCCTGGCTATGCAAACGTGGAATGCATGCTGGGCTTTGGCTGCTGTTTGGGTCCAGGAAGGCTTTCTGCAGAGCCCTGGAAAGAATCGCAGCTTGCGAACCTGCCGGCTGCACCCAGGAAGAGCGGGAGCTGCTGGCAGCAGAGAGGAAGAGAGAGAGAGAGAGATTGATTTGCCTCTGGAGCCGGGAAGCTGCAAGACGCACCTGCGCTTGTGCTTGCTCCTGCCAGCTCCCCGAGCAGCGAGCGCGCGAGCGCCGGTAGCCTGGCTGCCGTCCGGGGGGGTGATGAGAGGGGCAGCCCGCCACAAGCCATCCGCTTAGCATGGGTGTGGGGATGGCGGGGGGAGAGGCGCCTGAAGCAGCCCTCCGCTTCTCTCCTTCCCCAGGAAAGGCCATCCAAGGTAAATAGGACAGTCAGTTTCAGACTTCTAACCACAAAGGGCGATGAAGGCAGATAAGGGGAAACCGCAGAGCTGCCTTGCTTGGCTGGAAAGGCGAGGCACGTGGGACACGATCCTCGCTGGCTCCCGCACGAAGCTCCTGGCGGCGTGCGAAGTGGCTTTTCCGCTTGGCCTTGGCTAGAGGGCCGCCGGGGAGCAGGGGGTGTGAAGGAGGGAAGGTCTGATGTGCCCCCAGCCTGCCTTCCCAAGGGAGCAAAAGTGAGCAGCAGGAGGCCTCCAAGCACCTGACAGAGCCTCCACCACGGCTGGCCCCAGCCCCTCTCTGAAGTGCCAGCTGAGGGAGGGGGGTTGCCCTAACTGCCTGAGCTTGCCCTGGCTCTGGAGACCCACGGAGGGGTGTCTCCCCACTGAGTGCAGCGTCAGAGCTCCTGGCAACCACACGCTTCGGCTGGCCACCAAGGTCCGACGCAGGGCAGAAGGGTGGCTGCACCACTAACGGATCAGCTATGCCGAGAAGGCAAACGAGAGCCGCTGCGATGACGCAAAAGCCAACAAGTGACGACTGAGAGCCACAGGGAAGCAGAAAGGGGCACGTGACCCCCAGCACTGCTCTTTCAGAGAGCGGCCAATTCTCGCGCGAGGAGGGCCAAAGACGGGAGAGCACGTTGCGACGACCTGTGTACATCCGGTGCCTCCACCCACACGGATGCTTCGTGGGAGAACAGAAACACGCTTGCACACTGATGGGAATCTCTGAAGGCCTCAGTGAGCTGCCTGCGCACGGACAGGTCTTGGGAACTTCCGCTCCTTCAGCACTGAAGTGAAACGCCCAAGAAGAATCATTTGAACTAGGCTGGATCGCCGACGGTGCTCTTGTTACTTGCAAAATACCCAGGGATTGAAAAGGAAAAGAAGAACTGGACCGCTGCATCTTCCTGGAAGCCAGAAAGCACTTCCTGACGGTTAGGCCCCCAAGGGTATGGAATGGGCTTCCATGGGAGGTGGTTGGAACCCCATCGGTGATGGTGATGTGCTGGACACGCACATGGTAGGCATGTGTGAGTGGAGCCAGGGGTCAGACTAGATGGCCCGGGAGACCCCTTCTGACTCACTCTTTCTATGTTTCTATCTCACGCTCCCAACTGAATCTCAGGTCTGAAAAGTGCGGACTCACCAGGGATTTTCTTGGATCACCCTTCTCCAATCTGGGTTCCTTCAGCAGTTTCGCATGATAGCCACTGACCTTTCTGCCGGGGACCAACAGAAGTGTAAGCCCGAACCATCTGGGGGCCTTTGGAAGCCTGCTCAGCAACCCCAGCAGCACTTTCTCTGTGCATCAAGCCACGGAGAGAAGGGTCAGACCCGGAGCTCCTCCCCATCCCATGCACAGGATGCTGGGCTGGGCACAGAAAGCCTCTCCTCTAACCTTGGATGGTATTCCACCCTCGGAGGTCCAAATAGCCACGAAGACGGCCCTGCTTGGTCATTCCATCCCTATACAGAGGGATGGGTGTGTGTACACAGACCACCGGGCCTAGGGGCCACGCCTGTTCTTTGCACCCACTGCGGCACAGGGGACAGGGTCCCAAGAGCGCCAGAAACGCAGGGTCAGCCCCTTACCACCCGTCCCACGGATATCCTGCACGCTTGCTCACTCCCAGCACCCTGACGCAAATGGAACGCCGAAGGCCACAACGCAGGAGGGCAGGACCATGGAACAGGCATCCACGGCAGCTCCTAGGACGACGAGAACGCTGGCCCAGAAATGACACCGGCACGGATCACACCCGTCCGGGCGCGGTCCAGACAGACAATCCCTGCCACTCCTTTTCTGGGCCTTCCATGGCTGCTTTCGATGGGCCACGACGGCAGCGACGGACAATGGCTCACATCACCGATGAAGGCGCCATGTTGGTGGTGCTGCTCCATACACTAGAACCATTGGAGTGGCTCTGTCCGAGGAGTTTTCAGGGACTGAGTAACCTAGGTAAACATATCCCCCACTTTCCCTTAGTTGTTGCAATATAGACAATGAGCCTGAAAAGCTATTGTTAAGCAAAGGCGCATCTCCTGGTAGCCATCAGATAAACGGGTCCCTAAAAGGGCCGTGCAAAGCATCATCACCCCTGTCTCTCCCTGCGCCTTCTATTTTTACCCAAATCCTTGCTCTGGCTTTGCTCCTTGACAGCAAATCGCCTTAGGTCTGGTGCAGAACGCTGGCACGTGCCTTCGTCGTAATCCTGGCTCGGTCCCCCGCCCCCCGGCGCATCTGCCAGACACCCCCCGCATCCTGTCTTCATGCCGGCCATCACACGCGCGTGCCTCTCAAGCCAGCTCCGCGATCAATTCTGGAGGCTGAACCATGAAGCAGCAGCACAGAAGCCCGCTCCGGAGCCCCTCGTGGCAGCTGGCCGGTACATTTAAAGGGGCACTCCTGCAATTGTGCCGATGTGGTGCGTGGTTGGTCTGTGCTCTGGTAACCTTGTCCTGGCTGCAGGATGCACCGGGAGGAACTGCCCCTTGCATCAACCGACCCAAGGAGCAGTTGCTGCTGCGGATGTAAATCTGCACACCCGCAAATGCACACCAAAACTACTCCTCAGACCACCGAGGATGCTTGTAATGATGGGTACAATCTAACCGGTGCCACGGAGTTCGTTCTGTCTCTGTGTGTGCATATATCGATCAAACGTATAGCCCCATCATGAAACCTGCAAGGGACCCATGGCAGCTGACAGGCTCCCCGCCATTCCATTTTCTCATCACAACAGCCCTGTGAGGTAGGCTAGGCTGAGGGTCAGAGGCTGGCCCAGTCACCTCGTGGGGCCCTCTCCATTTTGGCCTCCCAACAACCACCCTGAAAGGGAGATGAGGCCGAGAGTCTGTGCCTGGCCTACAGGCCCCAGGCAGCCTCACAGCCCAGCCTGGCCTCCAAGTCCAGGGCCCCAGTCCGACACTCTTACCACAATGCTGCAGAAGTAGTTAGAGCGTGCTATCTTACCTGTGAACAAGGAGTCCCTGTGCACAAGATTGCCCACCTGTATTTCCTGGGGGAGAAGGCTCTCTAAGCAGGCTGTGCCTGCAGGTGTAACTGTGCCTTCAAGAGGACGTTCTGTCAAAGCCGGGACTTCCCCGTTCCAAGTCTCCCAATCTCCTATTTTCAGAGTTGTGCATACATCAACACTCCTAAAAATTCCTCAGACAGTACAAAACCAGCAAAATAGGTGCAGAATTCTAAGTTGTTGTTGGTTATTTCTAAACCTATCCGGCAGCAGCAGATCTAAAAACAACCAGGACAAGGTCAGCTTTCATGTAAAAGCAAAGAGATTCAAGCTTCTAGTCCCTAATGCTGACAACTTGCTAGAAAGTGTGTGGCTGGTACCTGCAGGAAGCTTCAGGAGCAGTACCCTTAATTTCCCGTGGGCAGGGCGAGGGTGGGGCTCAGGTGTCCCCGCCTAGCCGGCTCCTCACCCTTCCCTAAAACCAACACACTACAATTATGTAAAGTGGCAGAAATTCAATTAGAGAAGTTTGGAAGAAAACAAAAGAAATTATAGAAACCTGTAGGAAGGTTTCTGTAATTAAAAGTAAGGACAGCAGGGCACAGAATTCTGCAGCTTTGGGTGTGCAGCTTTAATTATTTGACTGCGGAGCAAACAAAACTTTGTGGGTTCCCAACGGTAGATCTGAGTCTGCATGTGTCCAAGCAGGCCCTCTGTGACATGTTATGCCAGCAGGAGTCGGAGAAGACTGATTTGGCTCAAGATAGGTCCTCCAAAGCAGGAAACCAAAGTGCACCCTTCCCTTGTCACTTGCGTCTGACTACATGTCCCATCTCTTCTAGCGATCATAGGCAAGTCCCCAACACAACTGCCATAACCAGGGAGGAGAAAACACTTGGTTTTAGTCCTCCTGGTGACCAGAAGTTTGAAGCTATTCCATCTTTTCAGACACTGTATCACAGCCATGGTGCAAGGCCGAACCTCGTGCGAGTCATCACACAGGGACGTGCGTGTAGGTGATCCCGAAGGAGGAGCGAGAACTTCCTTTGTTCCCATGCTACTGCGAACTGATGCAATTCACCCTTTCCAAACCAACATCTGACCCCAAACCCAATTGTTACACATTGGTACTTCCTGAAATGTGCGATGCTATGCTTTAGTGGTAAAAATTGTGCATCAGCTTGTGCATTTGTGAAAACAGGGGGCAAACATGCACTGCTACTTCTGGCAAGCAGGAAAATTGCTTGCAAAACTGTGTCGCGTTAAGCAGAAGTGCAGACGGAGTGTGCATTTTCAGGCAACAACGGGGATTTGTACAGAGACTTTCTCTTTCAGGCGGCAGTTTCTCTGGAGCAGTCCCGCAAACTCGCCGGTGAAGGGGGCCATACCCAACTCCTTCCCACCCCACCCCTCGCCCGAAGCACGGATGGCACCCAACGCTGCCTTTCATTATGTGTAATTAAAGAGGCAGAAGAGGCGTTGGCAAGATCAGTGTCTCTTCGCCGTCTCACATTTTCTTCACTCCTTTTTTTTGCTGACGGCTCCAAATAGCCAAGCCAGCTGCTGGAACAAGGCATTTATACGCCTAATTTCATACATTCCATATGAGATAATCAGAAAGGTAACAAACAGCTGGTCTTGCTCATCCAAAGCAAGGATCTGCTCAGAATCCTTTTTAAAGGCTGGCAGGCTTTCTTTTCCGAAGTTGCAGCCTGCCAGCATCTCCCCCTGAAGCAGTTTCCAAAGGACATGGGGTATTCCCTGATCCGGACCGTGTTCAAGTGGCCAGAAAACTCTCCGTTCACTCGTGAGTGTGGGGGCTGGCGGCTGGGGTGCCCAGTGGAGAAAAAGGCCCTTTGCATCTGCTCCTGGGTACCCTTTTCTCCCTCACTCTCCAGGACAAGACCCTGGGAATTAAGCAGTTTGCCACCTCAGAGGAACCTGGCTCTTCTCCCCTTCCATGTTACCTTGCGGTTCTTCTTTCAACAGAAGCTGCGCACGCACGCCAAAACTACGATAAACGCAGGATGGCCTGCGGTCATGGGTCAGAGTCCTTTGCCCGGACAACTACTAGGAAGGGATGGGCTGGAAAGGGACAATGACCAGCATCGGAATAGGCTCCCCAGGGTCGCAACAGGTGCAATGAGCAAGCCGGGGAGCAATTTAACGTGATGAAGGGAAAAGCAGAGCTCTCCCATGGGCTCCAGGAAAATCCCTTCTCCGCAGCCCTGAAGTGGATGTCGAACTTAGGCGGTAGGAATCTCCACCTCCTCCGCTGTGTCGGCATCTAACTCGGTTCTGCAGCCTTTACCGACTTGGTGCCCTCGAGATATGCTGGACTACAACTCCCATCACCCTCAGCATGAACACGGCTGGCTCTGTAGCAAGTGTTCCCAGTGTCCGGAAGCTTTCAACCCCTGTCAAAACAGGGGCACAGTGAACTTCAAAAGCTTCTCTCTGCTGGGGTGGTTTTAGGGGCTTACCCACTAGGACTGGAGCTCTGTATTGCTGGTGTGGAACCCCAAAACTCTGGGAGGTCAACTGCCCCACCACCCCACTGAGCAGTGCCTGGCAACGGTGACCCATGTGGACTGCTGCAATGAGCTCTACATGGGACTGCCCTTGAAGATGGTCCAGATACTTCAGTTGGTCCAGAATAGAGCTGCCAAGTTATTAACGGGGACCAGCAGATACTCCCATATCACGCTGGTCCTATATTGTCTACACCAGCTGCCAGTTGAAGTCCAGGCCCAATTTAAGGTGCTGACAATGACCTATAAGGCCCTAAACGGCTTGGGTCCAGGAGCCTTCTCTCCTATATGCCCCCCATCCCTTGAGATCTGAGTCAGGGGCCCTTCTCCGGGAGCCCTCCTTGAAGGAGATCTGGAGGGTAGCTACTCGGAGAAGGGCCTTCTCTGTGGTGGCACCCCGGCTGTGGAACACGCTCCCCAGGGTTCACCTGGCGCCATCCCTTTATTCTTTTTGGCCTCAGGTGAAGACCTTTTTATTCTCCCAATATTTTAACAGTTAATTGGTTTTATCCTTGTGCTATCATCGTTTATCGGATACAGTGTGTTCTACGTTGAGTGTTGTATATGGTTGCTTTTTTTGGTTTTCTGTAAGCCATACAGACTTTTAGAGAGACTTTTAGTATTGGGATGGCCTATAAAAACTTTACATAAACAAAGGGATGGAGCTGTGGGGATCTCTGTTGCATCAGAGCCCCTGGATGAGCTGGCTTGCTGTGCTCCCTCTCTGGCCTTGCGACCTTCTGCTGGAGGGCTTCTTCTGAAAGCAAATGCACCCCCATATGCCTGTCCCATAGCTGCACCCCAGAGACAGACTTTAGAGCACTGCAAATCAGCACAGGTGAACGTGTGCACTTGTCTTCTCTGAGTACCAGTTCTTTTTGGTACCTAGCCCGGCTCCTGCCTCTCCATCACCTGCTGAGGTGTTCTAACATGCTTTTCAAGTCTGACCGTGCGGATTCAATCCGGCACGGGAGGGACTGGAGCACCTCCTGCTCCGAACCACCAGCCCCCAGGGCATCAACCCATGCTGGTGGGCCATGCGCCCCTCAAGGAGAGCCTGGAGCGCCACGATGCCACGCACAAAAACCACACTCTACGGCTCTGCAAGGAACAGACAGGTCGACTTGCTAACCAGCCGCGTCGGCTGCCAAGAGAACGGGACCGGAGTGCTCACCATCACGGTGATGCCGTCCTGTTCCAGGGGGGTTTTGTCATAGGTCACTTCGCACACTCTCACGACGGTTGTTGCCCCGTATTTCTTCAGATCCTGCAGAGGAGGAAGGGAAGGAGAGAAGGGGGTTGAGTCCACTGCTCCTGTGCCCTGGAGGAAGAACAGCAACTGGTTATGGGGACCGAATGAGGCCGGGGCACCTGGGGAAAGGAACCTGCTTCAAAGGGCTCCAGCTTTGGAGACAGGCACCCCTGGCCTCAGCCCTGCCCTCCCCACTTGGGCAGGGGTGTGAACAGAGGCTCCTGCAAAAGCACAACTCGCCATCAAAGCACAAAGGGAGAGCTGACGTGATTCACTCGCAATGCAGAAAGACACACAGGAAGAGGGAAACAATTCCCAGGGGTTTCCATTAATTTGCCCTGGATGGGGCAGCTTATTCCTGGAAGGGATAACGCTGCTGAGCATCGTTCAAGCCCAAGGTCCAAATTCAATTTTGGGGAAGCTTTTTTTGGTGGTTGGGGTGTGGGGGCATTCCAGTACTTGGCAGGGTTGAAGACCGAAGGATGAGGGTCCAAGTGCCCCGGACAGCAGATGACCTCAGATTAAAGCTCTTTCTCCCAGAAACTTGGGAGCAGTATTCCATGCTTTTGGAATGCAGAAGAAGTGTGTTTATCAGGACCGCCGGAGAGCCAGATCAGGGCTGCCTGACACCCCCAGCCCAGAGTGCCTCTGAAGCGTAAGAGCCTAAGAGCAGCCTTCCGCTGATCCAGCCTTCCCCAACCTTCTGGGCATGGGGGGCCGCAACTCCCATCGTTCCCAGCCAGCATGGCCGATGGCCCTCAGAGCTGGAGAATGAGCTGGCACCTCGATTGGGGCAGGCTGGGTCTTGAGGCCAGTCCTCTCGTCCTGCAGGGGCCGGCCACGGAAAGCTCCCACGCGGGTGAGGCGTGCCCAGTCCACCCTGGCCTTCGGAGGCACGTCGCCCCTAGTCGGGCCACTGATTGCAACCATGGCGAAGCCAAGCTGCTTTGGGGACTGCCTGGATGGCAGGCATTCAGGGGGTCTTGTACCCTGGGCTCAAACACTGCGCCAGTGAGGTGGAATACAATTGAAATGGCTTGCAATGCACAGAATGCGACATGGCAGGGGTCTCCAACCCCCAGGCCATGGACTGTTAGGAACCGGGCTGCACAGCACTAAATTATGCGTATTTACTGTTTAAGTTTATCGAGATGGGTATTGTTCGGGGTCTGGGAACGGATTACTTCATTTCCCATTATTTCGAATGGGGAACATTGCTTCGGACTTCTGAAACAAATTCAGTTTGAAGGATCAGGCACCACTGTAATGTGCCTGAACCATCCTGATACCATCCCCATTCCTGGTCCGTGGACAAATTCTTCCACGAAACTGGACCGTGGTGCCACAAAGGTGGGGGACCCAAAGCAGGGCTTGAATGGGGACTTCCCAAGCACACTCGTGTACGCTCAACGGCTATGAAACTAGTTATTCAGATCAGAGACGAGCGCCTCTGCAGCCCTTCTCCCAGGCTGCACCGGGAGCTACTGCTCTGGCCTCCCCCCAGCAATGCGGCTGCTCCAAAAACCTCTGCGTGGCACGTTTCAGCAGCGGGAAAAGGACACGGGGAGGGGCCTGCTGGATCAGGCCAAGGGTCCAGCTCGTCACCTTGGCCCAGCAGGGGATCCATCAGCAGCACATGGGTGTAACAGCACCCCCTGCCCATGCTCCCCGGCAACCGCTTCACCCTGCCTCTGCAGCATACGAGGGGGGACCCAAAGACCCAGGAATGATCCTCTGGAGGGCAGGTTCCTGTAGACCAGGCTTCCCCCACTGGGTGAGTATGCTAGGGACCCCCCTGCATCAGGGCAGCAGCTGGGCGGTTGTGAGAAGCGCGCTCGGCTTCTGGGGACTTTCAATGCGCTCGCCTATGTCGTGACGGCTGATTGGCACGAGCGACGCGCAGAGGCGCAACCTGGTCAAGACGAGTGTTCAGCGGCTCTTGACCAAAGGCAGCTTGACCCTAGCGCTGCACGCTTCCTATTCACCGGATCTTGCCCCGTGCAACTTTTTTGCTTGTTTGTTCGTTTCTCCGGAGGAAAAACGTCCTCTGCGGGAAATGCTTTGCCGATGTGGAAGAGGCGAAACACACAACGGCAGAAGCACTAAAAGGCATCGAATCAACAAGTTCAAAACCTGTTTTGAGCGGCGGAAAAGGCGTCTCAATAGGTGTGTTGCTTCAAGCGGTGAGGACTTTGAAGGTGACTGAAGTTTGAACATGGAAAAATAAATACACGATTTTTATAAATAAATTCCTGGGGGATTTTGGGTCCCTCCTCGTAGAGCCGCCACAACTAGTGGCCATTTGTCCTCCAAGTAACTGCCCAGTCCCCTTTTGGAAGACATCCAGGTTGGTGGCTGCGAAGGGAAGGCTGCACTTTACGCAAAGAAGCCCTTCCTTTTATCTGTCCTGACTCTCCCACCCGCCTGCTTCATGGGATAGCTCCTTTGGCTCGAGTATTATGGGGGAGGGATGAAAATAGCCCCTTCCCCTTTTCTCCTCACCCAGTCTAATGCTGCACACCTTTTTCGTATCTCCTCCTGCCTTTTTTTTTTTTTATTTATACCCTGCCTCTTTCCTGCAAAGGGCTCAAGGCAGCTTACATCTCCTCCTCCATCTTATCCCCACAACAACAACCCTGTGAGGTGGGTTGAGCTGAGAGTCTGTGACTGGCCCAAAGTCACCCAGTTGGCTCCATGGCCGAGCGGGGACTAGAACCCAGATCGTCTGAGTCCCAGTCCCAGCTCTTCACCACTACACCACACCGGGGTGGGGACCGGAAAATGAAAT